AATAAAACATTTTTGTCAGATTGGTTTTTTTTACAAAAGTGTAGACAGTATTGATGTTATTCAATAAATGAATAATTAAGATTTTATTCAACAAATGAATAATTACAGTAAATGTTAAAAAAAATTTTGATAGTTGAAATTATACTATTACACGTATGAAAAACGATAAAAAAATTATAATACAAATTAATTGATGTTTCAATATACTTATTACTCTACCCAACATCAGAAATTTAAATCTTAGAGAATCTATATACATATGTAATGACAAACTAAAAACCTCTTTTTATTTGAGCCCATACAGTACGATCATTAGTAACAGCCTCAAACAGTTTATAATGATTTAGAAAAGCTACTTTTAAACCGTCCAAATCATTCTGACTAACCGGCGTTTTATCTTGTAGACCCAATTCTTTACTTTCTTTATATAAGAATCCTCTACAATAATTAAAATAATCGGAATCTTTCTTTATACAATTCAACAAAGTAGTATATAATTTATCAATTATTTCTATACCAACATCACTAGATAATTTTTTAGCCTTATCTTCTCTACCTAGTTTTCTTAAGAATTCAACAAGTTGAACTTTATGATTTTGACGAATTAAAGCAAAAGCATAAAATTGTTCAACAATTTCTAAAAGTTTTAACCAAAGAATAAATTCTTGTTGAGACCAATCTTCAGGATTAAATCTAGAGGAATCAAACATTCTTTTGCTCAAAATTTTTGATCTTTGACGAGTAATTGCAGCAAATCCACCAGTATTTTCTAAATTATATTTCAAAGAAATACGGAGATCTTTGAGTTTTACTAATATATATCTGTATTTTTTAATACGAGCTTCTTTGTTAAAGTAGAGATGATTTATTGAATCCATTGCTAAGATGGTATAGTATGAAATTGTATGAAGATAGTATGAAGGTAGTATTAAGATCGTATGAATGATATGAAGATAGTATGAAGGTAGTGTTAAGATAGTATGAAGGTAGTATTAAGATAGTATGGATGATATGAAGACACTATAGGATAATGTGAATGAAGTGAAAACACAAAATATGAATGAAGACGCTAAGGTAATATATAGTTTTTTTTGTAGATTTATATATTATCGAAAATGGAGATCGAAAACCATATACGGCATACGGCATATACACAAGCACATCATTTTACAAGTTACATTATGTTTTAAACTACTGTATAACATCATATTTACTTTTTATTTTTTCTAATTAGTAATATACAGCTTATCGGATTGTCTTTTAATTCTAGGGAACATTTTACCTTAATAGTACTTGATATTCCATTGAGCTACGATATTACGTACGTACGTACGTAGGAGAAAAAACTAACCTCCGATAAGTTAAATAATTCCCTGACGTTTACGTCATTTATCAAGAAATGTCACCAATAAACTTTTATAACAAAAAGAGTGCGTATAGAGAACAAATGAATTTCTTTATTGTAAAAAGGGAGACCAATTATAAAGCTTTGCAATATCGATATCCGATACGTATACGGAAATCCTTTGCTCAAGAAAAACTTGAATTATATGTTACGTGTGAATAATTATCATGCGATTAATGCATATAATATGCCATGAAAACAAGGAAAACGGCTGAAGTTAGCACTAAAAAATCTGCCAATACGTACACTTTTATTATAAACTTTAACCCCATCCCCCAAAAAATTTCAGCTTCTGCTGTTTCAAGTTTCAGCCCGTGATAGTCACTGGTTTCATTATTCTATAAATTTACTAAACACATGTGTCAGATACTGTATATATTATAAATATTGTAAAAAACAAAAATATTGTAACAATAACGATAACGATAACAATAACTTTCTCTAAGGGTTTAAATCGTAAGATTAAACATTTTAAGGTAATGTTATCCATTAAAATGTTAATGTAAACGACGAATATTTTTTAAAAATAGAAATATACTTCCAGATTTAAAATGTATATACAAATAAATATTGGGTTTCATCATTGTAATTACGTATACTACAGAAATTACATGTTTCAATTTTTCACATTTGATAATAAAACATAATATTCTTAGTTCATTAAGACCATTTAAAGTGTTGATTAGTTGGAGTTTCGGTTGTTCCTTCCAGAATCAATTAATTATTAACATCAGAAAGTCTTAATTATTTTTCCGATTTATAATTCGAAACATCCTGCGTATGTATGTATTTACCACCCCAATAATGGAAAATCTTTACTAATCCGATGTTTTTTATCGTGATTAATTAATGAGATTTGTTATAAATTTTTGGATTTCTTTTTTTTTTTTTTTTTTTTAGAAAGAGTCGAAATTTTGCAAGTGCTACTTTTGTAATAATTTCAATGGAGCCACTGTATACGTATTTTAATTGCATCATTAACATACATAACAATGGGTTACCCAAAAGCATAGACGTACATGTGATAGTCTGTAGTAAAAACTCCAGAGTTTTTGTATTTGCGTACACAAAATACAGTACTGTATACAGAATTGTGCAACAAATCCACAATAAAGTACAATCAAGTACGAATTGAAACTGCAGAATGACTATCATTTATTACACAATAATTCAATGCTGAATTAATAATGCACGTACGTACGTACGTATGTAGAAAATTCTACACACGTATGCGAATTGCTACAATATTCTACAATGTTAATTCCAAAAATTTTGACTATGTACTATTGAAATGACGGTTAAATAATATTTTTTTTTATGATTAAGAATTTTTTATTTTAGGAATCCTAGTTTACAAGTTCGCCAGGACGGCCACCAAAAGTACGGGTCACATGTTCGAAATATCCATGGCCACATCTTAGTTCGTCTTGAGAAATTTTCACGACAATAAAGCTGCATGCAGGAGCTAGACAATTTAAGAAATTATACAATAGCTGTGGCGTCTTATCATGTGATCAGTACTTTTGGTGCGAACGAACTCCCTAGTTTACTGGATATTTACTGTATATACTGTACGTATACGTTTAACGCTGCAATATAATTGCACGGGTCCTATACAACAATCAGTGCTTCATTTACTGATTGGTATAGTACGGGAAACAGGAGGAACCGTCGATGTTACACAACTGATCCTTCACCCGGTGTGCACCATATAAAAAAATTATTTCACAATACATGTTACGTATTAGTAATAATAATCCCACACCATTTTTATTATAATAAAATGGTGTGGGATTATTATTACTAATACGTAACATGTATTGTGAAATAATTTTTTTATATGGTGCACACCGGGTGAAGGATCAGTTGTGTAACATCGACGGTTCCTCCTGTTGGTACGGGATTATACATATATGTACGTACTAATGAGTCCTAGTTGCATATGTAACTACCCCGTGGCCTTGTGTAACTAGGATATTATTGTCCGGAGCATAGCGGAGGACTTTATATGTTTAGGTAAGGTGATACAAAAGTTACATTTTTGATGCGTCAATAATTGTAATATCATAATTGTAACTTACGTATTTGGTGTCTGTCCGCATGCGTATAATAGTACATTCTTGATACATTACATTGTTTTGATTTGTGCTGAGTCAAAAAAAAAGGTAGCAAGTTTATATTATTGCGCTCCGGACACACAATGTTGCACATTAACCTAGTTTTAAACCATTTTTTAATGCTAAAGCGGTTAGTGACCGGATATATAATGAAACAAAGTTTAATTTTTTTAAGAGAATGTTAAAGAACATACACATTTTAATATACTATAAACAGTGTTAAACAGTATGATCCGGTAGTTATGCACAAGAAATTCGATAAATATAAAATGAACTTTGATTTCTAAAATTTACAAATTTAGTAAAGGTTGTAATCAATTATTAAGAATTAAACAAATTTATTTCTTAATTATCGAGAAATTAGATTTAATTTTCTTGTTTTCTAGAATTAATCTTGCATGTAAAATAGTATTGCTTCCTAATTTAAATTATATAGGAGAAACAAGGGGATATGTATAGGAGATATAATTTTTGACAATTTATTATACGTACATTTATTATACGTACGTACGTACGTACGGTAACCAAAATTATGCGCTTAAGTACAATTTTGGCGCTTAATTACAATTTTGGCTAGCCATTGAAAAAGACAAAAGATTCGATACAAGATTAATTATAGCAAAAAGGTTTGTCAACAATATCGATATCATTAAATTTCTATATAGTGCCAATAGAACATTGCATAACAATAAACAAAATTGACCAATTGTAAAGTTAAGAATCAATAAATAACATTCTGACATTCCGAATAATAAAATAATAAATGACCATATATACAAAAATGATGTATCACAAAATCGTCATTATACGATTCTAATAACTGACATGACAAATGAATTGTATGCTTCTTTTTTCTTTTTCGACCTATTAACACTAATTTTATTAATACCCATTAGATCTGTGTAGTAGTTCGGAGAATCGTTTTCCTAAAGTCTACTTGTGAGTATGAAAGGTATATTCCAGTTGCATGTTTAAAACTCCGGTTATAATTACTTGAGATTTTATTGGTAAACGTTCTATATAACTATATCAGATGTGGAAAGCCTATGGTTTTAATTGGATACGTGTAAACATCATTTTAAATAATTTTGGTATTTTTTTGGTATTTTTGGTATTTTTGATATTATAATGTATAATACAGTATAGGTCAGCATTTGTAATCTTGATTAAATGCCAATTTTATTATGTTTTGAAGTAGTAAGAAAATTAGTAAGAAAATTACAATATTTCAAATATTGCTAATCTCTAAATTTTCCTTTATAATTTTATTACTGAAGAACGTGTCGTTTTTATTAAAAAAAATTAAATTATTATTTTTTTTTTTCTAATGATAATAAAGTATTGCTAGTAATTCAAAAAAAAAAAAAAAAAAAAATTGATGATTGCACTTACTCAAACCGCATTTAACCAACTAGAAAATTTTCAATACATTTACTATATATACATTTTTATACACATATTAACTCATACAAGAATTATTAAACAGAATACTCGAAATTAAGAGATGATTTACTATTATCATTCTCATCATTCTCATCATCCTCATCATTATTAAATAAATGTAATTGTAACAAGATATTTTCAACATTTTCAATTGATCGTTGAATATAAATAATTGTTTCTTTCATTTTAGTAACTTCAACACTATTCACCATTACTTTTGTATCCGAAAATTCCATCGTTGAAAAATCTTCAATTCCAAGTAAATAATTAAAATCTTTTACTGAATTAAGTTTAACTTTTCCATCAATCACTGATAAAACTCCTGAAATTTCTTGCATAGTACGAGGTCGAAATTCTCCATTTAATTCTTTAGGATCAATATAAATTTTACTTGAATAAATTAAATCATTTGCTATTGCAAGTTCAAGAATTCGTAAAAGATTTGCCAGTGAATCATCTGATGGATTTGATATAGCTGTATGTAATCCAAATACTATTGAAAAATCCGTAATTGATCGATGAATTAATCTTGCAAGTATCCACCAAATATGAATTTCTTCAATTGACCATGTTGAAATATATTGTATTGTTAATACTGTTTCAAGTTTTAAACTAAAGTTTCTCCATGAAATACAAAGTTGATGTGCTGCTGACACTAAAGGATTCAACCCATTTAATTGTGGAATTGGATAATGTGGATATGATTGTGTACCATAAAGTAATGTAAGTGTGGCTGTTAACAAGTTTTTTAGATAGAAACATGATGTTGC